AGAGATCTTCCATCCTATGGTTCACTCCCCAGATGGCCACAATGGCCAGAGCTGAGCCAGTCCAAAGCCAGGAGCCAGTAGATTCTTCCAGTTCTCCCACATGGGTGCAGGGCCCCAAGCACTTGGGCCATCTTCTACTGCTTTCCCAGGCCATAGCAGAGAGCTGGATTGGGAGTAGCCGGGACTTGAACTGGCACCCACATGGGATGCCAGCACTGCAGGTGGAGGCTTTACCCAATACGCCACAGCACCGGCCCCGATTTCCCATTTTTTAGACGTGTTTCAAGTCTTGTTATAAAGTCTTTTAATATATACATAAAATAAAGGTTTCTGTGGATACTTAATTAACACTTATTTTTCAAAGTTTATATAGAACTAATGGTGAAACCATCCTTTATAAATTAGCATTAATTCATCTAGCAATTAGCTCATTAGAGCCTTTGTATTTCTTTAAAGAGTTGGTAAGCTTTTGCTTGGCTAATGCCTCACCCATTTCATTAGTTCATAAGGTTTTTTATTCTCATAGATTCAATTATAAAATTATTAATATACTTTAAGCAATCATTTTTGTACCTGTGCTTATGTGCTGTTTTTCATTTCTAATGTTATGTTAATTACAGCTTTTACTGTTAACGAGCTTTCCCCCAGGTAATGACAGCTTACATGTGGAAGCTTATTTTATTTTTGAGAATCATTCTCCTCCAACCTGTCCCTGGAAGAGGATTATGTAACCCTGTCCTTGTCCTGTGATTTCAGTGCCTCTTGTTAAGCCACATATATGTCACTGGTCGTACTACCAGAACTGAAATCTGATTTGCTTGCACAAAGACATCTTAGTAAAAAAGAGCAAGAAAATGGTTAAATGCAATTATGTGATTTTTGCTTCTCTTCTGGCCTCTCTCCAGAGCTACTATTTCTCAACCTGAGTCCTGGACCTCAGCCCGCTTCCCCTGGGGCAGAACCATGGCCAATGCAGCAGTGAGATCTGGCACACTTGTTATGGTAGCAAAAACATGATGACTTATTACAATTATTCTCACTCAGTTTTGAATATAAAGGTATTTAAAACACGTTCAAGTTAGTCGTCCTTTTGGTTTTTATTCTTTTTAATTATGTGTGCTCTCTTCCAACAACTTTCCTAAAGTTGATGATTACAGGAGTATTTTCGTTTAGTGTCAGGAGTTAACCATTGTTTATGGGAATATTTCTTGTTTTAAAGTAGTTCAAATTTTTATACCACAGTTTTACAATTTACTTCTGAGTTTACTGAATTTATGGCAATGGATGTAGACTCTAAAATATAAACTTTTTAAAAAACATTTAATGCATTCCTTATAACAGGTACATGATTAATTTTGGAAATATTCCTCATAGACCAATAAATTATATATTCTCAATATTCATAGAATGCAAAATCAGATATTTATGTCTGAGTATAGTTTATTACAGTATCCATTCCATATATGTTCCGATTTATTTATTTCTAGTAAGCCTTTCTAATTTTGAAAAAGATATATTGCATTCCGAAAGTATAACTCTATTCTATCAAGTTCTCTTTGCATTTCTAATAGATCAGGAATTATGCTTGGAATGCTAAGTTGCTTTTGCTTACACTTTCATGAGAAATTTGTATTTCAAGCACATGGTCTCTTATCATTACATAAAATAAACTTTTATCTTATCTAAGAGCTTTAGACCTGAAGGGAAAATTTTCCTTTCTCCTTGCTCCAGCTCACCTGTCACACAGTTTTTGAAATGATTTTGTATTCTATACAACCTATGTTCTTTTACCCTTTGCTATGTGAATATTCCATTTTGCTTGGTTTGATAGTACAAAATCACAAGCACAGTATAATTATGTTAACTTTATATAAAATTTCACTTGTCATTAGTTTTTTCTTCCTCTTTCATTTTATTTCCTTTTTAACTCACTCCAAGTTTTGAGACAATTGTTGTTGATTAGAGCATTTTCTGAAGTAGTTATCTGAATAAAATTAAGAAATTAAAACTGGATGCCTGGAGGTTGTCATTCAACCCAATGGGTCAATGATAATTTATCTGGCCATAAGAGTCCGTGATCCTTTTCTTCCAATAGTTTTACACATATTTTCATACTATTGAACTGTAAATAAATTGTTCCATCTATCTGGATGCTTCCTGTTTAATGCTTGAAATTCAAAAGTCATGAAGCTTGCCAGGCCACTCCCGCGTCCACAAAGACACACACACACACACACACACAAACTCAAAATCCATCCTCTTTTTTCCTAGATGTATAGCTGCTCAACCACAATCTACTCTCCTGGCTCTTCTAGTAATGAGGCTGCACCAAGTTTCTATCAGTGGATGTGCTTGAAAAGTTTGGCCTACAGTCTATCTTACAGGGTACAAAGGAAACGTTCACATGTGATTTTTTTTTCCCTTTCCTCTCCCCACAAGCTGGAACCTGAGAATGGCAGCCAAACCAACAAGGACAGCGTCCAGGAGGATGGTGTTAACTACAGCATGCCAGAAACCCTTATGCCTGAACTCATGGTGTAAACTCCTGTGACAAGTTACCTGAGTCATGCTGGCCTGTTTGAGAAGAATAACAATCAATCAATCAAACAAGCAAATAAGCAGAAAACCAAAGGATTAACCTGCACCTGCATGGGAGACCAGGAAAAGCACCTGGCTCCTGGCTTCGGATCGGCGCAGCACGCCTGCCGTAGCAGCCATTTGGGGGGGTGAACCAACAGAAGGAAGATCTTTCTCTCACTGTCTAACTCTGCCTGTCAAAAAATAAATAAATAAATATAGATTTCAAAAGTACAACTTATGGATTATAGTGACTTTTTCTCCCCATAACCACCCTCCCACCCACAACCATCCCATCTCCCACTCCCTCTCCCATCCCATTCTTCATTAAGATTCATTTTTAATTTTCTTTATATGCAGAAGATCAACTTAGTATATACTAAGTAAAAATTTCAACAGGTTGCACCCGTACAGACACACAAAGTATAAAGGATGGTTTGAAGACTAGTTTTACCATTAATTCACATAGTACAACACATTAAGGACAGAGATGCCACATGGGGAGTAAGTGCACAGTGACTCCTGTTGTTGATTTAACAACTGACACTCTTATTTATGATGTCAGTAATCACCCGAGGCACTTGTCATGAGCTGCAAAGGCTATGGAAGCCTCTTGTGTCCACAAACTCCAACCTTATTTAGAAGGAGAATGTAATTTGTAACTTAAATTACAACAGTTGACTTCAATCATAGATTTTTACCTCTTATTTACTGCATTATTGCCACTATACCATCTGCTTCCTTTTCACCTTGCATAACATAACTCAGCTTCCATTAATCCCATCTACCTTGTTCACATTTTATCAAATTGTCATATTTTTTTAAAGATTTATGTATTTATTTGAAAAGCAGAGTTATAGAAAGGCACAAGAGAGAGTGAGAGAGGTTTTCCATCAGTTGATTCACTCCCCAAATGGATGCAATAGCCAGAGCTTGGCCAATCCGAAGCCAGGAGCCAGGAGTTTCTTCCGAATCTCCCACGTGGGTGCAGGGGTTCAAGCACTTGGGCCATCCTCTACTATTTCCCAGTCATAGAAGAGAGCTGGGTCAGAAGTGGAACAGCCAGAACTCAAACCAGTGCCTATATGGGATGCCTGAGCTGTAGGTAGCAGCTTTACCTGCTAGGCTACAGCACTGGGGCCGATATATTAGTGATTATGTTCCCAGTATATTTATTGATTTAGTTTAAAATTAGAAAATAATGACTGTAGTTGCAGAGTGTGTATTGATGTTCTAAGTGAATTTCCTTTCACTCTCTCCTGATTGACTAGGTTTATACATTGGTTAGTAGTTGTCATTTGTCTGTTCAGGAATTTCTACTAAACTTGTATCTTCCTATCCTCATCACTGTGTTTTATTTCCCTCTCCCTAGTTAATGGATTTTCTCATGTTAAGATAGGACTTAACCTGTTCTTGGCTCAGCCCAACTCTGGGTGCTTATTTCAAAGTCTTATATTCCACTGGGGATCTGAAGTTCTTGTGTGTTAAAAGTCCTGATTCTGGGGATAGGGTTGGTCCAGTTTGCCTCTGTGGGTACACATTTTGAGCTCTGTAAGGAATCCTGACTCTGATCTCCTCTCTTTTTTTCCTGAGATCACTGCTGCTATCAGATACTATGAACAATTCTGTCCATGGTATTTCAAGAGATTCAAAGACAACAAGATTGCCCAAGAGCATGCTACAGTCCATAGGAAGGTGCTGCGTTTTTGTTATGTTTTGTTTTGTTTTCTCACAGCGGGAGTCAACTACTCTATGGGAACCCTGGAATGATAATCCTCACTTCAGGCCTCCCTTTTGCTGGTCCTTGATTCAGGCACAAACTGTGTTCTAAGAGGTCAAGTTCTCAGTTTGTTAGTGTGTGCCTGCCTGAGCTTCCTGAAATATCAAGCTTTCCAGGCACAGCTTCCACGACGTCGCCACTGCTTTGCCTGGAGACTGTATGATTCATCTCTTACCCATAGGCCAGGAAGACGGAGACTCTCCAGCAGCACAACCTGACTCTTGCGAGCACACGTCGTTCTCAAAGCAGACCGGTGCAGGTATTGGATGGCGGAATAACGTCTCAGCCTCCCTCCGTGGCTTTGTGCAATACGATGATTGGAATTGCATCGTTTCATAGCATCTGATCATTTCTGAAATTTTCAGAGATCCGACTCTATTCAGTGTTGTGTGTTGCACTTGAATCTCATCAAATTCCAGAGTTCTTTGTGGCATTTGCCTCTCTGCTATCACCTCACCTCAGCCACCCTCGACTGGAAAGTTCATCTCTCCTTGCAGCAACACTGACTTCTAATTGACCTTTGTTACTCACAATGTTCATTTTTAATTTTTCTTTTGCTGGTTAAGAATTCAGAAACTGGAAGAACTGGGCCGCGCGCCGCAGGATCCTCCGCGCGGCAAGATGGCCGCGCCTGGGCCGGAGGCCGAGGTGACCAGGAGCTAGGCCGGTGCGCTCAGCTCAGCGCCGGGGCTCCCTTTAGGACCCCCGCGGGCCTGTCAACAAATACCTCTGGGTTTTTCTCGGGCTATGGGGACACCCGGATAGCGTGTCTGCCCCTACAGCCCGGCTTTTCGCTGCCTGACCTGGAATCCCCGGGAGGGCTGCAGCCCGAGGCGGGAGGCCAGTTGAGCAGGTCCATGTGTTCCCACAGGTCCGACCCTGAGCGCTCCATGCCTGCCGGCGCGAGGAGGCGTGGCCTCCCCCAGGGCCACCGCCTTTGCTGGTTGCTCTGGGCTTTCACCTTAAAGCTCTGCCAGGCAGAGGCTTCCGTGCCGGAGGAGAAACTGTCAGCGAGCACCTCGAATTTTCCATGCTGGCTGGTGGAAGAGTTTGTGATGGCAGAGGAGTGCACTGCCTGTTCTAATTTCCAGACTAAAACCACCCCTGAGTGTGGCTCCACAGGGTACGTGGAGAAAATCATGTGCAGCTCATCAAAAAGGAATGAGTTCAAAAGCTGCCGTTCAGCTCTGATGGAACAGCGTTTGTTCTGGAAATTCAAAGGGGCTGTCTTGGGTGTGGCCTTGGTCTTCACTTTCCTCGTCATCATTTGACAGCGACAACTGGACAGAAAGGCTCTGGAAAAGGTCCGGAAGCAAATCGTGTCCATATAACTCCATCCAGCCATCATTCTGGGTCCTGCAGATCTTATCTCACACAGACAAGTGGAATGGACTGATTGGTACACTCGTTGGAGCTTTGTGACAGTGCCCCTTGCCCCATTTTCCTTTTCTAGATCATTATAAAAAAAAATCAGAAACTGTTCCCTTTTCAAGCCATTGGTATCCTTTAACGCATGGACTTCTTCGTTCAGTTCTATTCCTACTTGGACATTGGCAAGAACTTCCTCCCCTAAAGCCTCTGATAGCTGCCCTCCTCACTTCCATTCTATCACCAACACCAATGGCTCATGGTGTTAGATTTCCATTCATGGTCCCGTTCTTCCTCCAGTATTAAGTCTAGGATCCGTATAAAGAGGCATGGGTGTGTGTCATCCTCATTCATACAATGTTTCCTTCACAGCTGCCTTTAGCTCATGTTGGCTATGCACACCCTCGAGCTAAGGGGTTAGCCATCTTCTGAAACATTGCCAATGCCAGGGAACAAGGAACTCTGAAGGGGCTCTTACCTGAGGGGTAAGTAAACTATGGTAAGTATGTTGGCCTCAATTCACCTCATGCCCCCCAAGCCCAAGGGAGCAGAAAAAAGCAGTGTAATATCTGCCTAGAAAAGCAAGCAGCAATAGTAGATGAAAACCAGTAATGACTGTTTCAGAGGGTAAGCCAATTATGTCTTTGATTCTAGAAGTTATAGAGTTGATGAGAAATGGCTTTTGCTTATGAATTCCACATAAGTAAGTGTGAATTTGAAGATATACACAGTCAGCATAATTACTTTTGATTTTATGCTATCTAAAACACAAACAGTGTGAAAGATATTACTAAATAATTCACATAAAGTACAGGACAGTTAACATGATAAATCATCACCCTCATTTTAAATTATTACATAACAGATTTTATTCATAAATAATTTTGCTTAAGAACCAAGTTTTTTTTTTTTTAATTTGTGTAATTTCTGCTAATGATGCGGCTGGATGCTGTGCAACAGCTGTTGTTTACAGTCCCACCTACCCACTGGATCGTTTGAAAATTTTCACACAAGTTATAAACTACATTATTAAGATTTAAGAGCATAAACAATTAAAATGAGCAAGTTAATATCATTCTAATTAGAAAATGATATTATGCGCTATCTATATTAAGGCTTAAATAATTAACCTTCTCAAGGAAACTTGCATTAAAGCAAACATTGTGGACACTGGAGAGGAAATCCAGTGCCGTAATTAAATAATGTCCCAAGTCTCAACCCACACCAGGTCCAATAAGCACCTGACGCATTTGTATTTGTAGCACATTGTGAATTTCCTCATGAAACAAATCAAGTATCTTAATTATATTTGAAATTTTTATTCTTTTCTTTTCAATATTATTTCTAGCTTTTTCCAGGGAAGTTTTTGCTTACTTCTTCTGAGTGGCTTATGAATTACATGGCTCACCAATATCAAAACAAGTTTCTAGAAATGGCACAATGTAAGAGTGTAAATTCTTTCCATACATTTAACAGTCCGGCAAAACATACTATTTTTCTTAAGAATGCATCTATAACTTTCCTTATAAATCTGGAGGAAAAATTAACGCCCTCAAAATAATAAATGTGTAATCCCATTTTATTAGCTCCAACTATGTAAGATCATTGTATGATAACTATATTTAAAATTGACTGCATATTAATTTAGAACTACTGCTAGTAGTAATAATTGTTTTCAGAAAATGGAACTAGTTTATTTCTAAAATTGAATATATTTTAAAAATTTAGCCACATAACTTGATTTATTAAATGTAACAATTAAAATAGCCAATATATTATAAACATGCCACAAAAACTTCTTAATATCTTCCATTACCTCCAAAGTCTCTAATCCTTCCACAACTTGACCTTTCTTTGAGTATCCATGCTACTTTACATATTTTTATATGCTATCAGTATCACATCATCAGTTTTACTGGCCCTCATCCAAATCTTATTTTTAGCATGTTTGTTCAAGTTACAAGGGTATTAGCATATGCTGTGTCCTCTGCAGGAAACTCCCCTGCCCTTGTTTGTCTAGTTAAATTTCAGCAGAGAAGTTACTGTGTTCGCAATTCTTCATTCCAAGTTGTTTGGGCACATTATCCCAGAATTCTGCCAGGAATCATCTGTCTTCCTAGTCTCACTCTGGGTAATTTAAGTGGGGCTGTACCCCACACCAGGGAAGCAGTGTGAGTCCCAGAACTGATGATGTATCATGATCCCTGCCTGCCCTCAGTCCATGGAGGAGGCTGCAGGTGGTGCAGCCTGGCACAAGCTAGTCCAAAAAGATTGATTTACAGAATTTTCATGAGAGTTTCTAGGACTCAGAACTATGACAACTACACACAAAAACTAGGGCTGCCTGGGAAAGAAGCCAACATGGGGAAAAAAGCAGGTGGAAGAAGTGGAAATGCTCAGACTAAATGCCCTTGGTTGGGGCTCAGATCCCTGAATCTAGACTCTGTCATATAGTCCTCATCATTGTATCTCCATTGCCACTAACATATACAGCACACTTAGTATATTTGTATTGATAAATGAATATCAATGTCACTCATTTAATATCTGTGTTTTGTATTACCATCCTCTATCATCTGATTTTTTTTAAGATTTATTTATTTATTTGAAAGTCAGAGTTACACAGAGAGAGAAGGAGAGGCAGAGAGAGAGAGAGTGGTCTTCCATCTGCTGGTTCACTCCTCAGATGGCTGCAGCAGTCAGAGCTGCACTGATCCGAAACCAGGAGCCAGGAGCTTCTTCCAGGTCTCCCACACAAGTGCAGGAGCCCAAGGACGTGGGCCATCTTCTACTACTTTCCCAGGCCATAGCAGAGAGCTGGATTGGAAGTAGAGCAGCCAGGACTCAAGCCGGTGCCCATATGGGATGCCAGCACTGCAGGTGGCAGCTTTACCTGCTAAGCCACAGTGCTGACCCCGAATCTGAGTTATTAAGCAATCAATCAAGTCACTCATTTGGCGAAATTTCATGAAGGAATTGCTGTGTATTCAAAATTCCTTGTGATGCAACTTGAGCCAAAATAAAGCAATGTATTGTATCCTCAAAGCACTGGACGTGAGGTGAGAAAACGTCTCTCCTTGGCCAAACTCCAGTCAGGCTCCTTTGAACTTTTCTCAGTAGGCCTTGTGTTTGTCTCTGCATTGTCCAATTCTATCAGGGACCTCACTGAGTTTTCCTGGAGCCTATCGCCTTCCATATCTGAGTACCCTTGGTACTTGAACAGGTTCATCTTCCATCACTGCCCAGATGATGTCTTACCCTGGCCTGCCTTCAGACAGAATCCTTTTAGTTGTGATTAATTAGAACACTTTCTTATTCCTGATTTCTTCTGAATCATTTTACATCTACCACCACTCCCTCTCCACTCAATCTCTTGTTTTTAAATTCCCACTTGTGCATGTATTTGGAGTTGAATCCAAAATCTCTCCCCTAGGAAAACTTTATTGTAGTGGTCCTTGCACCTATCATAATGGTCCCAGGCAAAATCTACCTTATGGTTCCTTAACAAGTAGCATGAGTCAGGTTTCCTTTAGCAGAAATCAAAGACAAGAAGCGGAAAGAAACAGGAAGCGAGATGAGTGCTCATGGAAAGGCATCTTCATCTGGCCTGGGGTACGAGGTAGAGTGGAGCTAGGGAAGCCTCCCTCCCTGAAGACAAGACACTCAAACACAAAACCAGAGATGGAGGACTTGGGAAGGAGCTTGACATGGAGCAGAGAAATGTCTTCAAGCTGCCTGTGTGAAGGTGAGAGGAAGCAGGGTCAGGGGAGGATAAACAGGAAAGAAAGATCTAAGAGGCCAATGGAAAACAGACAGAAAGCAGCACATGCAATGGTTTTTAGAGCAGAGTGTTTTCTAAACTTCAGATTAAATTCAAAAATTATAAAATAGCTCAAACAGCCTATCAGAGTTTACATTTTTAATTACAACTTTTGGAAAGAGTGAATTCATGAATGGACAAGCATTGCTATGTTCTAAACTATTCTTCCAGAAGTTACGCTGCAATGATTTAGAGTGATTTGGTGCTTTTTGGAATGATTTAGGCATCAGGTGAAACTTAAGTAATGTTAATGCAAATGAATGTTTATGATGAATTTAATTCAAGAATAAAATACTTGGAAGAAGCACTTGGTATTTGATAAGCTACTGAGAGAGAGACAGAGAGAGAGAGAAAGAGAGGGAGAGAGAGAGAGACTAACTTTCCACCTACTGCTTCATCTCCTAAATGCTGGTGGCCTGGGAAAGCAGTGGAAGATGGTCCAAGTGCTTGCACTCTTGCCCCCTTTTGAAAGATCTGGAAGAAACTCCTGGCTCCTGGTTTTGGATCAGCCCAGCTTTGGCCATTGTGGCCAAATGGGGAATGAACCAGCAGATGGAAGATTCACTCTCTCTCCCTCTCCCTCTCTCTCTCTCTCTTCCTCTCTCTCTCTCTCTCTCTCTGTGTGTGTGTGTGTTTGTGTGTGTGTATGCTTCACATGAATAGATAGTTAGAAATAGAAAGATAGTTAGAAAGGAAAGACAGTTATATTTTTAAATTCTTTCTTCTAAACTTACACCTTCTGCTTACCTTGATTCTATATCTCCTTGTAATTACCAAATCAATAACTGAGTTAGAATCTGAATTTCAGAGACACCAGGAGTTCTTCTAAAAGTCATAGTTATACTATGCAGTTGTGTGCAGGTGCCTAAAAGGAAGACAACCTCTCAAACCTTCAAGATTTTGTGCACATCCCGAGACATAATCTTTAAAAAAGCACTGATTTTTCAAGCCACATCAGGAAGTAACAATCTGTTTTAGAAATCTTTAGAGCCAGTAAAGTAGAGGTGCTGATTTTTGTTTTAGAGACTTTAGTACAGGGAGATAATTTCTCAAGCTAGAAAAAAAACATGAAGGGCAAGAAATTCTAAATTAGTGGGCTTTTTGAGTTACACTATTTATACTTGGAGCATTTGTAGTCTAAATCTCTAAAAATCCCATACTTTGCAGTAA